CTCACACACACACTCTCACACACTCACTCTCTCACACACACTCACTCTCACACACACACTCACTCACTCTCACACACACTCACTCTAACACACACTCACTCTCATCACACACTCTCTCACACACACAAACACACACACACTCACTCTCACACACTCTCACTCTCTCACACACTCACTCACTCTCACACACACTCACTCTAACACACACACACACACACTCACTCTCATCACACACTCTCTCACACACACTCACTCACACTCACTCTCTCATCACACACTCTCTCACACACACACAAACTCGCACACACACACTCACTCTCACACACACACACTCACACACTCACTCTAACACACACACACACTCTCACACACACACACTCACTCTCATCACACACTCTCTCACACACACACTCACTCACTCTAACACACACACACACTCACAAACACAAACACACAAACGCACGCACAAACACACACATATAAATACACACACTCACAAACACACATAAATACACACTGCTGTTCAAAAGTTTGTGAGCAGAAGAGACTTCTTTAAAAAAGAATAAAGTCTTACTGATCCCAAACTTTTGAACAGCAGTGTATAAGTGTGTTTTTCAATGAAATGCATCTCATACCAAACTAATCAAACATTAAGTTTTGATATATTTGCAGTAGGACATTTACAAAATATCTTCATGGAACATGATCTTCACTTAATATCCTAATGATTTTTGGCATTACAGAAAAATAAACAATACAATACACAATAAACTACAGAATAAATGTTTGAAAACTGTACATATAGTGAATACTGATTTAACACGTTTCTTTTTAAACCCTCTGGTATTCCACATTCATTCATTCATTTATATAATTATTCTAGAAATTGATGTAGTATATTTGGTTTCAGTAATATTTATTTAATATTTTGTATTTTGAGGGAATTTAATGGTACTATACAATATTTGCATCTACATTATGCACCATTTATTTCTATGTAAAATAATACAAATATATATAAAAAAAATTGTTTTTCATTTAATAGTGCTTAAGTTAAATATATATTAAAGGTATTTAAAATAAATAAATACTTAAAAATGCAAATAAAATATAGAAACACACACACACACACATATGTATATATATATGTACAATTATTAATTTTTCATTTTGATATATATTTTGAAAAATGGGTGATTTGTAGATAGTAGACCAACAATTTCTAAATAGATGCATTTAAAATGATTTAACATTATTTTATTTAAATTTATAAAGATAAAGAAACACACACACACACACATATGTATATATATATGTACAATTATTAATTTTTCATTTTGATATATATTTTGAAAAATGGGTGATTTGTAGATAGTAGACCAACAATTTCTAAATAGATGCATTTAAAATGATTTAACATTATTTTATTTACATTTATAAAGATAAAGAAACACACACACACACATATATAAATTGTATATAAAATATACAATTATTAAATAATAATTTTTTTCATTTTGATACATATTTGGAAAAGTTTAAAGACTGCTTCATTGTGGGTGGTTTGTACATTGTAGACCAAAACTTGTTTGTAATTGTTGTATTTCCTATGATGGTTTTTCATTTTGACCACGTGTCTATTTTTGAGACCATTTAGCTTCATGTCTAATCATGTCAGTGACTTTATTATTTATTTACCTGTTCATATATCAAGTGCCACAAAAGTCACCAAGTTGCAAACTTGTTTATATGAAGAAGCAAGCAAACCTTAAATCGGTTAATCATACTCGCGTGGGTTGCAGGTGTTTAAGATGCTGGCTAATAAAGAGTCTCTGGAGCAGATCATCGTGGCCTCGCCGGGACTCAGCTCTGACCCCGTGGCTTTAGGTAGGATGAGTGTGCAGCACGTGGCAGCTCGTGGGTTTGATTCGGTCCGTCTCTCATCAGCTCATCATGATTTTGCAGGTGTGCTCCAGGATAAGGATCTGTTCGTTCAGTTCACAGACCCCAAGCTGCTGGACATGTGAGTCTCCTGAACACACACACACACACAGCCGCTCACTCGCAGAGCCTCAGTGAACACGACCTCCATCGCCTCACACAGGCTGATCCAGTCTCACCCGGCGCTGGTCAACGCCATCATCCTGGTCCTGCACTCCGTGACCGGCAGCAGCTCCTCACGAAACCCCGCCTCCACCTCCTTCAGTGAGATGCCAGGTACTCACACTCACATCAGCTGATCCAGAAAACACAGCGCCTACTCACTGATGCTTAAACAGGAGTCAAATGTCTGTGTGTAACAGGAGGTTTTCTGTTTGATGGCATGTCGGATGATGAGGACGATTTCCAATCGGTACGTTTTTTTGTTAAATATATGTTAAATATACAGATGTTTTGATGTTAAAATATTTTGTGTATATATAAACACAGACATAGTTCATGGATCATTTTATAGTATAATAAGGGGATTTTTTTAAAAGTAATATTATATAAAGGGGAATATTTATTAGTGTTATTATAGTGAAGAGAATGTTTTATTATTATAGTAATATTATAGTAAGGAGAGGTTTTTTAATTAGTATTTATAATAATATTGTAATGAGGAAAATGTTTAGTATCATTGTAATATCACAGTGACAAGATAGTATATTCATGTGTGTTGTAATATTACAGTATGAATAAATATCCGCATGTAAAACGTGTTGTTTGAAGCAGGAAAGCAGAGGCGGTTCGTCTCGAGCCCAGCGAGGGTCTGCAGGCTCCAGACCGCTGACGTTTGGTCACAGCGGAGCCACGGGCCCCAGACCCATCACTCAGAGCGAGCTGGCATCTGCACTAGCGTTAGCCAGCACTCCGGAGAGCAGTGGCGTCACACCGACACGGAGCGCTCAGGTCACACACAGACTAAACACCAGAGTCTCAGCTCACATCTCAGTGCTCAGAGGATACTCACTGTGCTTTACTCTGCAGGAGGTGTCTTCCAGCGGAGCGTCAGGAGCTCGCGTCAGCAGCAGTCTGTTCAGTCACGCGCTGCAGCAGGCGCTACAGGCCTCTAGCGTGAGCTCACCTCAGGTGACACGACCACACACACACACACACACACACACACACCTGCAGCAACACACACACACACACACGCACACACACACACACACACGCACACACACACACACACACGCACACACACACACACACACGCACACACACACACACACACGCACACACACACACACACACGCACACACACACACACACACGCACACACACACACACACACGCACACACACACACACACACGCACACACACACACACACACGCACACACACACACACACACGCACACACACACACACACACGCACACACACACACACACACGCACACACACACACACACACGACCACAACTCTCACACACACTCACACCTGCAGCAACAGAAACACACACACACACACACACACGCCCACAACTCTCACACACCCTCACACCTGCAGCAACACACACACACACACACGCACACACACACACACACACACACCCACACACACACACACACACGACCACAACTCTCACACACACTCCCACCTGCAGCAACACACACACACACACACGCACACACACACACACACACACACCCACACACACACACACACACGACCACAACTCTCACACACACTCCCACCTGCAGCAACACACACACACACACACGCACACACACACACACACACACACCCACACACACACACACACACGACCACAACTCTCACACACACTCCCACCTGCAGCAACACACACACACAAGCACTCACACCTGCAGCAACACTCACACACACACACACACACTCCCACACATACACACACACACACACTCTCACATGACCACACACACAAACACACACACACGACCACAACACACACGACTCAGCAAGGCTCAGCAAGCCTTAAATTCATAAAGTTATGGTATTAAATGTTCCATTTACAAATGTCTGTCAATGTATGTCAAACTTGCTTTCTCTTTGAATTAATTTCATTGGCAGATATTTGCTTCTTTTAATTATAAACTTAATTATAACTTTAATTATCAGCTCAATTTTGACCAATTTCTCATTAAACAAGACTTCATTTTGCATCTCCAGTAAATGCGTCTTGATTTATGAGCCGTTAGACATTTGCACTGGAAAACAAGAGAAAGACTGAGGAAGAGCAGCACTTTCCTGCAGTTTAACCAGAATAATCCGCAGCAGTTATTTCAGTATTCTAGTGTTTGGAGCAGAGATATTTAAGACTTAAGCTTCAAAACTTTGAAGCGTTGATAACACATCGATGTATCGTGTTCCATTCTATTTATTTATTTTACTCGCTCTTAAAACGTCTTAAATTAACCTTCATAAAACCTGCAGAAACCCTAATATTATTATATTAATAATATGAATTAATATTATAGTTAGGCTTTTTGTTATTATTATTTTAGTAATGTAGTACGGAGAAATATTTTTTATTATTATTGCATTTTAGTTAGTATGAAGAAATATATGCATGGTATACAAGCACAATTCTAATTTTGCTCAGAACTATCACATAGTCTTTTCGTGGATATAACAGTTTTGTGCTCGATAAACGCTTTAGTAAACGTCATTGTTTACTCTCCTGTATGAGTTTCTCTCTTCTGCTGAACGGTCTTCTGTGATATTTTGAAGAATGTAGGGAACCAATGGCATTTTTTTACACACATACATACTGTTGAAGTCAATGGGGTCCATCAGCTGTTTCGTTCCCAACATTCTTCAAAATATCTTCATGTTCCACTGGAGAAACTCATTCAGGTTTGGAACAACATGAAGGTGAGTAAATCATGACAGAATTTTCATTTCTGGGTGAACTGTCCCTTTAATTCTATTAAAAGAGAGCAGTAGAGAACTGATGCGCTGCTGGCTTTAACACGCGTGTCTTTATACGTCTGTGTGTGTCTGTACGTCTGCGTGCGTGTCTTTGTGCGTCTGTCTGTGTCTGTCTGCGTGTGTGTGTGTGTGTGTGTGTGTCTGTCCGTGCGTGTGTGCATCTGTCTGTCTGTGTGTGTGTCTGCGTGTGTGTGTGTATATATGCGTGTGTCTGTCTGTCTGTGTGTGTGTGTGTGTGTGTGTGTCTGTCTGTGTGTGTGTGTGTGTGTGTGTGTGTGTGTCTGTCCGTGCGTGCGTGCATCTGTCTGTCTGTGTGTGTGTCTGTGTGTGTGTGTGTGTATATATATGCGTGTGTGTGTATATATGCGTGTGTGTGTGTATATGCGTGTGCGTCTGTGTGTGTGTGTGTGTGTGTGTCTGCGTGTGTGTGTGTATATATGCATGTGCGTGTGTGTGTGTGTATATGCGTGTGCGTGTGCGTCTGTGTGTCTGTGTGTGTGTATATGTGCGTGTGTGTGTGTATATATGCGTGTGTGTGTGTATATGCGTGTGTGTGTGTATATGCGTGTGCGTCTGTGTGTGTGTGTGTGTGTCTGCGTGTGTGTGTATATATATGCATGTGCGTGTGTGTGTGTGTATATGCGTGTGCGTGTGTGTCTGTGTGTGTGTATATGTGCGTGTGTGTGTGTGTGTGTGTGTGTGTGTGTATATATATGCATGTGCGTGTGTGTGTGTATATGCGTGTGTGTCTGTGTGTCTGTGTGTGTATATATGTGTGTGCATGTGTGTGTGTATATATGCGTGTGTGTGTGTGTGTGTGTGTGTGTGTGTGTCTGTATGTATGTGTCTGCAGGGCCGCTGGCAGACGCAGATGCAGCAGTTGAGGGATATGGGCATCCAGGATGAGGAGGTGGCTCTGCGAGCGCTAACAGCCACAAACGGAGATCTGCAGGCCGCTCTCGAGCTCATCTTCTCTGGTGGTGGAGGAGGAGGAGGACTCTGATGTGTGTGTTTGGCCTTTAGATGCTGTGAAGTGACCAGCACTGGCTGTTAGTTCACTGTCAAACACAATCTACCTTTGCCTTAAAAACATGCTTTGTTTGTTTTTTACTTTATCTAAATAAAGTTTAATTATAGAATGCATCATTTTAGATGTGTGATCTGTGAAGGATAAACTGTATTTGAGTGCTAGTGGTCATGCGGGAATGAATGGACACTCTGGTAATGCCAGTAGATGAGCACTAGATGGCGCAGTAAGATCATATAAAGGAATAGAGTCTGTGCTGAGCTTAATACTCATATAGTGTGTGCAAAACATGCGGCATAAATATACAATACTTACATTAATAAACTACATTTTCCCACAAAACTCACTTTTGAGTTCTCAACATTTTTTAAGGCAAAGATCAAAGGCAGTACAATAGTATTATTATAGTAAGGATTATTAGTATTATTATTACAGTAAGGATTTTTGTATTATAGCAATGTTACAGTAATGATGTTTTATTAGTATTACAATATTATGGTAAGGAGTTGAGCCACATGTAGTTGAACTGTGCCATTGATTATGCTGTGAAAAGTAAAACAACATTTTCACCTCATGCTTTATCAAAGGAAGAGAAATTCAATAAAAATGACTTCTAATCTGTGTGTGAGGCCTGTGACGGACTGACCGTTCATCCAGAGAGTTTCCCCGCCGGTGGCTCAAGATGCTGGGTTACAATCCAGCTCCCTGCGGCCCTAATAAAGACAACCAGATAATAGAATGGATGGATGGATGGATGAGTTCTTAAAAGTTGAATTTAAGGATACAGTTCACAACTTTGAAGGGATTTTTAAAATTCAACACAAAATAAAGTTCAAATTGAAGAATTAAAAAAAGAAAAAAATTGACTACAACTGAGCTTACAGATCTCAACATCCCGCTAATAAATGTTGCAGGGAAATACTGTTTCATAAAAGCCTCAATGGCCAATTTTCATAAAAAAGGCCTATTTAAAATGTTAACATTTTCAGAACAAAATCAAAAATGTTTGGTCAAAAATTAAGGAAATATCATGTAGAATTACAGTAAAATAGTACTTTATCATCAGGGCTTTTGGCTCAACTTACCCCACTACCATTTGAACAAACTTGTATCATCCAGCAGTTTAGAGCTAACATCACACTGACAGTACAGCTCATACACTCATATCATAACCTCCTAAAGCACAAACACGTGTGATATTTTGTTTCAGATTTGTCTGTAATTGTTCAGACTCGAGAAGCAACATACAACATACAGAAATCACTTTGAACAGCAAAAAAACCCTAAATGAACCTAAATGGTTTTAGGTTTTTTGAACCTAAATGTAGTTATCAATTATTCCACGGGCCGCTCTCCATCACAGCGCGAGTAAAATGGAAAACTCTTCATATACTGTATCTGTAGTCACATCACCAATTTTGTTTAAGGTTGCCTTGAAACAAGGGGTGGCTCAACTTCCCCACAGACTCAAATCACCCTTATATTGCATAATTATAGTAAGAAAAAATACATATGTTATAGGCTACATACAAAATATTCGTGACCAACAAAACGAACAAAAACCAAAGGCAGTCCTAGAAGCATACTATAAATACTGCACACACAAACACACACACTCACGCACACACACAGGTTTGTTTTTATGGTTTATGGGGACTCTCCATAGGTGTAATGGTTTTTATACTGTACAGACTGTATATTCTATTGCCCTACACCAACCCTACCCCTAAACCTACCCCTCACAGGAGACTTTGTGTGTAAATGTCCTCATAAATCACCTTCTCGTTGTAATACCTATGTCATACCCATGTTATTATACAAATTTGTGTCCTCATAAACCACATAAACATGCACACACACACACGCACACACTCACACTCACACACTCACACACACACACTCACACACTCACACACTCACACACTCACACTCACACTGACACTGCCACACTCACACTCATCTATGTCATACCCATGTTATTATACAAATGTGTGTCCTCATAAACCATATAAACATGCACACACACACACACTCACACTCACACACTCACACTCACACTCACACTGACACTGACACTGACACACTCACACTCACACACTCACACACTCACACTCACACTGACGCTGACACACTCACACTCATCTATGTCATACCCATGTTATTATACA